TGTTGGTGGTGGTGCTGTTGCTGTTGTTTTTTAAATGTGTTTCTGTCGGTACACAGATATGCCTCTCTATCTTCCTGTACTAAAACGGATTTATGTCTGTCTTCGCTTCCGTCTTTGTCACTGGTTTTATTGCTTGGCCTCTGTCTTGTTGAGCTTATTTCGTTGTGGTGCGTTATTCGTGTAGTTGTTTACACGTCTGTCTGCATTTCGTTATTTCGTTCTGTCTGTGCTTCTTGCTTTAGCTATTTCCTTCTCCCGTTCTGGGTTCTCGCATGCTGGCATAGATGTTCTTTCACCGCTTGGCTAACTCATGTCAGCTAGTTTCGTTGCTCAACATTGTGGCAGTTCTCCGTGCGCTGCTTTCTAATAGATGTAGAGCTCATGTGGGCAAGCCTGTCGGACACTTTTCCTGTGCATCGAAGAGCAGCCTCAACATCCCCGCCCCACCTAAGAAGGCATAGAAAGAACACGAAACCTCCTAAACCCCTAGACCCTGAGCATTCGCAGTTGATGTGGATGTATAGGTTAAGCTTCTGAAGCCGCCCAAAATCAAAGAGCCTGCCAGTAGCAGCTGGTGAAGCTGGGAATACCACCGGCGCCTCGGAGAAATCGCAAGAAACAGTTGGGCAGTGAGGGGCTTCGGGCGAAAAGGCCAAGAACTTGAAGCCAAGCCTTCGAAATCTGGGGAACCCGTTGTGTGAGGGTTGAAGATCTGGCAACCACCTCTTTTCCTTACCGATGACCCGAAAGGGGCCGAACATATCCACCCTTGGAAACCATTACGCCACTGAGCACGGCACTTGTTGGTTCCAGATCGGCGTCCAGCTTTTTACGGGTCCAGAGGACCTTCTTGAGATTCTTTGTGGTTTGCAGTTTAGGGCTTGAGGTTTCGGGCTTCGTTTAGGTCTTGCGGCTTTGGGGGTTTCGAGGGGGTTAGTCTGAAATGTTAGGTTTGCGACTCAGTCGGAGTCAGGGCCGAGAGGCGTGGAACAGGCTACAGGAGATGGGTCGAGTTCGAGATCAGAGGGCCAGGATTCTGGTGAAACGGATCCAGGTGAATTCTGCTGCCTCCCTCGGCTTAACCCTATGGCTTGGCCCTATGCCCTGAAGACCTAAACCCGAAAGACCTTAAACCCAGAACTTGTAGGCTTCCATGTGTCAATGCCGGATTTACTTCGGAACTTTGGTAGTGCACACCTTCGATTGCAGCCACCCTTTTGCGGAGGGCCCTGACATTAGAACCGCAGTAGTAGCAGTAACGATCGGAGCGGGTTTATAAATCAGGGAGGGATCTGCATACAGTCTAGACTACGAGAAGCAAAACACAAGACATCAACCTGAAAGGCACCCACAAACACCACATCGGTTCCTACCCTCGGCTTCGCAAACTCAGGATCTAGGGAGTGCGGACCCTAGGTTCGGGGTTTACGCTTTACGACCTTTGGCCGTAATATGTTCGGACTTGTGTACACAGCTTTAAAGAGTGTATTTAGCACACTTCTCCAAGATCTCAATCAGCACCGCCGATACTGATGGTTCGGAGCGGCTGAGAGCTTCAGGGTCTGCAACTTGCACAACAAATAATTGGGCGGCATCATCCGATGCAGGATGGCATACATTAAGTCGAGGTTTCAAGGTTTCTGATGATGAGGACAACTTCACTTGCACAGTAGCATATCTATGCAAAGGCAGCCCATATCAAACTGAAAATGAAACGTCCACCAGGCCAGCCATACAGGCACATTCTCGGGTCCCTAGGCCTAAGTGCTCAGCCCCAAACCCGAAATTTAAATCTTAAAAATTACGAAAGGCGCTTACACATATTTAGTCGTGGCATAGCACCAGCTAGCAAAGCTGGGTGAATCCCCCTCCCAGTGTAAAACGCAGCCCATCAGCTTCTCCGCAGAAGCTCCGGTAGGCTGCTGTCCCTTATGATGCAGCCCCAATAGGTGGTAGCTTGTCCTCGAGATTCAGGGCCGATAAGGAAAGCCCCCGAATTTCAAACTCCAATACCTCATGTCCGCGATCCTTTAACGATGCCAGGGAGCGTAGTGTAAGCTGCGAGAGGGAGGAGACCATTTGGGCCGGTAACCTCGAGGGGTTTATGGAGAATTTGGAGCAGAATAGCATTTTGAGGTGTACTGAGATTTTTAAGGCTTCGGGCTGTTGCTGTTTCGTGGAAAGAAGTGTGGTTTTGCTGCTTAGAGCCGCAGAGTGTACTTGCCAGGGGCCCATACTGTAAGGACTCTTCCTATGAAACCAAGGATTGCAACGATCATGGTCGTGGGAGATTGCGACGATGATGGCCGTCAAGATCCCTTGGGGGTCGACTTCTGCATGATTCATTTTACGTATTTTCCCAGCCATGTCCATGACGATTCCCACACATGTCCATGAAGAGTCCATAACACTGGGAATCCTACGACACAACCAGAAGCCCAGACTGTGACTAAGCCCGGATTTTCTCAAAACTAAGCCCGGCTTTTCGCAAAACCCGGGACCCCTACGCTCACGATCAGCTAAGAAGCTCACGTTTTGCAAGGTTTTCAGAACCTCAAGATGAACCCTTGGGGAGACATGTCGCAAATCCCGAAACCCAAATCCACAAAGCCTGAAAGCGTTGAGCCTATACCGCAGGCCGTACTAACCGAGGCCCTAACCCCAAAGCACCCAAAGATCTGCAGCCCTTGCCCTGAGGCTCCAGCCCGCGCAGAACTCAGAACCACAGCTCTGGGACCTCCAACTAACGTGACCATAGTAGTTGAGGCTTGGAGTTCTGGGTTTGAGGCTTTAGGGTTGTTGTTCTTGGGGCTTCGGAACTTTAGGAACCCTAACCCCTAAACCCGNNAAAGCCCTAAAGCCCCAAAACCCCTAGCTCCAAAACCCAGAAGCCCTATTTTTAATAAAAAACAGACGCTCCAAAACCTGGGAAGCCCCTAGATCTCCATGAAACCATGCAGGGGACTGACATCGGCCCGAGGCTTCTGGAAACTGCCGGGGGCGAGGTGTGCCATCCTTGCCGAGGATATACATATATATATATAT